AATGCACACTGGTCTATCACTAAAGATTTGAATCAAGCTAACTGTTGCTTACAAAACTCTACCTGTTAATTGCTCAAGATGCTTGTATTCTGTCAACTTAAAATGGCCAATGCTAGCACGGCAAATGCCACTGTCAATACTTTCCGCATTAAACTGGCCTCTAATCTCTCTCTCTACAATCCTACCCCAAACCACGTACATTGTACATACAAAGTGAACTATATTTTACAAAAGCTCATGCTACAATATATGTGTTAATCTTTAACATGTCATAGGACTCTTTGTTTTAATGAGTTAAAACAAGATGTTAAAGCATGCCCTTCACTTAACTAGTATGCACCTAAGAGCATTCAAACTGTGAACAGATAATTTGAGAAGAATTAAAGCTTTGTTGAAAGTTCAGCAATCCTTCCCAGTGAGCAGTAGGAAAACAGACTTTGGGGATGTAGCTGAGGAAGTAATGCTGATAACTGAGGCTGAAGAACTTCCTTACAGAGAAGAAAAAAATATCCAGTAAATTATTTCTGAAACTATAAGGTGGAAGAGCTTGCCACAGACAAGAGAACTAGAGAAAGTATCACAGCAGATATGAGATGATCAAGGCTAGGGCAAGACTTTGGCAATATTTGCTAAAAGGAAATGTGCGACATCACATAAAGGACTGACTGCATATTGTTCCCTTCAAACTCAGTGCTCTCTAGCAGAAGCTAACTTGGCTTGCACAACAGCAACTGGTTAGTGGTAAAAGGAGAAAACTAAATCAGCTACCATCCTCCTCTATGGAAACGGGGAGACAATAAGTTTAAGATAGGTAGGGTTTGACCATTCTAGTCAATCCTAGACCTTGTTAGGGTGGTCTACAAATTAGCTTTGTGCATTTTTAACGCAAGTCCTTAAATTGACTCCTCTCAGAAACCTACACTGAACAATGTTTTTTACACATGGAGAAATCAGCAAGAGAGAAATAAGGGACTTTTAAATGGCAAAGATATAAAAATTGTTGTTTGCATAATTATGTTGTAAGCCCCCACAAAGTGCTTTAGCACTATGGGGTGGTATAGAACACTGGTTCTTAACCTTGGGTTACTCAGGAGTTTTGGACTGCAACTCCCAGAAGCCTTCACCACCAACTGTGCTGGCTGGGGTTTCTGGGAGTTGCAGTTCAAAAACATCCGAGTAACAAAGGTTAAGAACCACTGGTATAGAAGACAAAACAACAAGAAATATATTGGGAAGGCAGCTAAGCTATCAGGAAGCACATCAGAATGATGCTCTAAAGTTGGGCCAGGTTGGAACAATATGGACTTACTCGAAAAGCAAAACTCTTGCACAAGCCCAGCCATTTTGAAGAGCTGAAACTTTGTTTACAGAAGAGATATTAACTTGATTCTGAATTGACAGACTTCTTACATTGGCTGGGGGAATCTGTTACCCTCTCTGAACTAGACCTATCAGAGCACACTAGATTCCGGTTGTTTGATAGTTCTGTGAAGACACATAGACTGGATTACTTCACTTATCTTTTAAATCTGCCTTTGGGTGTGCAGGCATGGGAACTCTTTCTGTTTATTATCAGAAATGCATACTAGCAAACCACACACACACAAACACACACTCCGAAAAAGCATAGACTATAGTACAGAGAACCCAGTGCTATAATGGTTCATTCTGTCTTATGAAATAGTGTAATCTGTCCTGCCTCCACTTTTGCCTCCACCCAAGTCCTGAACAGGAAATATATGAGGTGGGTTCAATAAGCCGGAAGTGCTACAAATGTAATAGTAGCATCATGTAGCCATGGTCAAAGTATCAGGAGGCTATTAGGCACTCTTGTGCTCCCTTTACACATACAGGTGGAGGTGAATATGAATCATAGAACAGTGTTACTTCTGTACTGGCAATGACTACGATTAGGTTTTTTTAATGACAGAATTTAAAACCAGCAAACTGAGATTAAAACTGTGGTGAAAAGACTGGCCAGGACCAGGAAGACAAATCCCCATGCAAGCATGAAGTTCAGTGGATTGCTTTGGGATTGCCATTACTTCTCAGCCAGTCTACCTTAAAGGACTGTTGTCAGGCTAGAAACAAAGAAGAGGAGATCACAAGGACTTTCCTTGGAGGAAAGGCAAGATATGAATGTAACAAATCAATAAATACAGTTAACATAAAAGAAAATAAGAAGGGAGTCACAATACACACATTAAATCCTAACCCTGTTGAGATCAGTAACACTATGTCCATATAAGGCCTATATATTTTACAAAGGTACAAATTAGCATCTCAGGACCCAGGAAAAAAAGGGCTACTCGGAAAGAAGTTCTACTGCAGATGTGCTCAGTGAACGCTCCCAGGAAAATAAATTATTCCCTTCATGGGATATGCTAATTAATAAATAATAAATAAAAAACTTCCACTATTGTTATCAGGATGATGCTCTAGCTTCACTCACAAATCCGCTAACAAACCATGGAATCCAGTGGTGTTACAGTTGCTTCCAATGGCTATGCAACTCATATTGAAAAAAAGGGCACAACAACATCAGAGAGATCAACATATCCAGAATAATTCTTCATGACAGAATGTCCCTCTAAAATATGCATATACTAGCAAAATGTTGTAGATGTAGAGAGAGAGATTGAGAAAGAGAGAACTATACTGTTAATTTATCTCAGTACCAGATTGCAATGATGTGGGGAGGGAGAAATGTATTCTAAAAATACAGGTAGCCTATTTACTAACATAATTTTCATGCATTACTGTAAAGGCACAGGGTGTTTTACTATAAAAGCACAAGGTTAAGGAAGTTTTTATGATCCTCTCATAGAACATATCCTTTGCATGAGAAAGTACTCTGGGATATTAAACTTCTGCTAGGGTGACAGGTGATCTAGGAATGCTTTGAGAATAACTTTGCCTAAAATGGGTGTGGTGTTGAATGAATTACAGTACTGGCACTTTTTAAATACATTTCAAAAAGAGAATTTGCTCCTTTATTATGAGAAGACATTGTTGAAATTTATCTCCTTCTGATAAAGGGTTTAAGAAGCCCTGACAAGCATGGATAGCAAAACTTTCTATATCCATATACTGAAAGCCATTTACTGTCCATTTTGTAATCAAATTCAACAAAATACAATTTTACAGACTGGTTAACAGTTTATGCTGAGGAACAGCTTACTTCAAACTTTTTGAGTGAGGTGCAGTTCCAGCATTATGCTATTCTTGAACAAGGGGGCAATTAAATTTAAAGGGGGGGAATGTTGCTTCTGTAACAACATGCTTATGAAAGTACATAAAAGCAAAAAGTCACTGGGAAAAATCAGGGAGCCGTTTTACTGTCTCTGCCGTAATTACTGTAATACGTTTTGGGAACAGGAAAATGCAAAGACATTCAGCAGTCATATGGGTATGATGTTATCAATGTCACCTTTGCAAAAACAGTCTCAGCCTGGGCCACTTCCAACTCAGTCTCCCACCTGAGGAAGCACACCTTTGAAAGATCAGACAGCAGGCCTAATGGGCAAGCTCTCTTAAGCCAGGATGCAGTTTCAGAAGATGTAGCCATTAGGCAAACTCCAAAAACAAACAAACCAGGATGACATCAAATAGTGTAGACTGGACAAGGCCTGTAAAAGCACCTCAAGTTGTATATCAGGTATCCTGAATGACACCGTCGAAGTTCTCCTCAGGTGGGAGACCTCTTGAAGTATGGGCCAGGTGTGCTGATGGCCACCCCAATCAATCATTCCCCAAGGACAAGATTATCAATAATCTTTGAACAAAAAAGTTTTGGCACACTAAATCCAAAACACTGGTTCCCAGCCTCTCCAGCACCATGTCCCTTTTAAGGGTTTCAGAACCTCTCATGACTCTGCGTGTTTTTTTTTTTTAAGTGCCATTCAATGCCGTCTCAAGGAAAAATTCACTCCCAAACTTAAAATTAATCCTATGGAAATCTATTTTTAAAAATTAGGAATTAACTTTGTGGTATGAAATTTGACATACTGAAAATTATTTAAGCGGTTCAATTCCTTTTCTCTGTCTCTCACTCATGTGCTCCCCTTGCAAATGACTCCATGGGCTGGGGGGGAAGCATGCCGCTCAGTTTGGGAAGCACCAAGAAAGGCTGCACACCTTCCTGACTCTCATCTTTTAGATACCGCCCACTGTGTTATCTGCATGCAAAGAAAGGATAGGAACACTGAACCCATTGCCCCAGGAAGGAAAGGTTTCCCTCCTATAGGCTTAAAAGGCATTCCTGGCAGGGCTGGGGGGAGGACTCAAATGATCAAAAGGAGGAGAGCACTCAAGAAAGAGGATTATAGCTCACACCATCCACTCTTTATGCCAAAGATTCAGGCGCCCTTCCAGTGTCTCCATTCATTCCCCCCCCACCTCCAAAACACTACTGTTGACTCTTTCTGCCACAAGTTTCTGGGGCTCATGCCTGCCTGCCTCCAAAATACAATATATTTGACTCCTTGTGCCACCAGATTAAGCGGCTGGTGTATCTTCTCAGAGAAAGCATCACCCCTGGCACTCCAGGCCACAAGGTCAGGGGGCTCAAGGACCTCCCCGCCCAACATACACAACCGATCAGCTTGGACCGAGGTGCTCACAGGCTTCCCCCACCACCATCTTCAGGGGCACCAGCCTTGGCCCTCTCTTGTCATCAGGGGCTCAGGCCCACCTGCCCTCAAAACACAATAGAGATGACTCTTCTCCACACAAACACACACCAACACCAACGGTACTTCATGCCACAAGGTTCAGGGATCCATTTGTGTATACACGCACACATACACACACACACGAGATGACCCGACCGCCATCTATTCCTCCCTGAGGCGCCGCCGAGCCCTCGCTTCCCATCCCGGGGATGCTCGGGGAGGGAGGCACAAGGGCACGAAACGAACGAAACCGACGAAACGAAACGAAGCCGGGGGAAGGGGGCCTCCGCTGGCTCCCTTCTTCTCCCTCCTGGCCCGCCGGCTCACCATTCTCCTCAGGGTCGGGCGGCGGCGGCGGGCTCTGGGCGCGGGCTCCGCTCCTGGTCCAGGATTTGGCATTTTGGTCCCTAGGCCACTTGTAGTTTGGAGTCCTTAATTATAATCGTATTGTGCAATCAAGTTAATTTTGTCCATCTACCGGGGCTCAGCTCGGCGGCGGCGAGAGCAGCTGCGCGGAGCCGGGCGGGGGGAAGCAAAGGCCGCTCCGGGCGGCGGGGCCAGGAGGCCTCCAGGAAAGAAGCCGGGGCTGAGGAGGAGGAGGAGGAGGAGAAGCCGCCGAGGCTGGAGGAGCGGGAAGCGGCGGCGGCTGAGGCGGCTGAGGTGGCGGTGGCGGGACCAGGAGCTGGAGCAGGAGCGGCCTGGCGGCGCTTGCTCATAATTGTGCGACTGGAAGCAAAGGCCGCTCCGGGCGGCGGGGCCAGGAGGCCTCCAGGAAAGAAGCCGGGGCTGAGGAGGAGGAGGAGGAGGAGAAGCCGCCGAGGCTGGAGGAGCGGGAAGCGGCGGCGGCTGAGGCGGCTGAGGTGGCGGTGGCGGGACCAGGAGCTGGAGCAGGAGCGGCCTGGCGGCGCTTGCTCATAATTGTGCGACTGGCCCGGCTCGAAACGAAACGTCCCTGAGGAGAACCGACCTGAGGGGAGGAAAGGGGCCAAGAGCAGCCTCGCCAAACAGGTTGCGGGGGTGGGGTGGGGGACAGAGAGAGCGCTTTCCATCATTCCTCCCAAACAGACCTAATTTTTTTCCTCTCCTTCACGCGTCCTTCCCCTTCCCTTTTTTTAAAAAGAAGGGAGCCCTTTTTTTTCCTTTTGGCTGTTCTCGTGTGAGGATTTTTGTTGATTTCTTTAGGTGTTTTGCTGGTTTTGAGACAGAATTTTTTTACACACACGCACACACACAGAGAGAGTGAGAGAGAGCGAGAGAAAAAGAAGAAACAGACCCATTTTCCCCCTCAGGGGTCTTCTTTTTAAAAAGGGGGGAACAACTTTTGTGTTGTCATGTGAGATTTTTGTTCTTTTTTTAGGTGTTTTGCTGGTTTTGAGACAGAATTTTTTACACACACACACACACACAGAAGAAACAGACCCATTTCTCCCCTCAGAGGTCTTCTTTTTAAAAGGGGGGAATTTCTTTCCTTTTGTGTTGTCATGTGAGGATTTCTGTACATTTTTTAGGTGTTTTGCTGGTTTTGAGATGTGTTTTTTCTACACTGACTTTAAACACCTAAAAATGAACAAAAATCCTCACATGACAACACAAAAGAAAGTTATATATAGGCTCCCTTTTTTCCCCTCTCATGCCATGGTGTGACGAGTTTTTTTATTATTATTCTGAGGTGTTTTTCTACTGTTTTATGCGTGTTTTTCTTTGTTAATAACATATTTTTAATCATACATCTATAAATGGCCTGGTTAATTTCTGGTGGAAAAGGCAGTTTTTAAATACTGACAAGCTTGATGAAAAGTATCAGCCAACAGGTTTCCTTGACATAATGTGGAGATTATCCTTTGTAAAGCCAGGGTGGATACATTGTGACTTGGTGTTTTGAAACTCACATCCCATCTCTTCCTCTTAATTAGATCCTGGAGGAAGTTATTTCAATTTTAGCTTCCATGGATACCTTCCAAGAAATGGGTGTTTGGTAACTGGCCACTCATGCAATCAGTAAATGGGCAAGTTCCCGTATATCGACCAAAATGGGCTCAGGTCTCTTCCAATTAGCACTGGTTTTGCAGGTTTCTTTGCTATTGTTTGCAGCCTCATATTCTTAATTGGAGAGACCAGGAATTGATACTAGGATATTACATAAGTAGACCTGTTGCTTTATTCCTGAGCAATGATCCTGCCTTTCCTAATAGCACAGGGGGAAAACCCCAAGAGGAAATAATATCGTACAAGATGTGTCTTGCTTAAGGTGGCTAACCCATCAAATATATGAGTTTTATTTTATTTATTTATTTATTTATTCTATTTATATCCCGCCTATCTGGTCGATATGACCACTCTTAGGGCCCTGTAAAAGCCAGTTTTCGTTGTCCACAAAAGCTCAAATTGAAATATAGCAGTTTTAAGTTGCCACAATGTTTTTGTCTTAATCTATTAATTTTCGTTTTACTTTTTATTAATTTCAGTGTGAGATTTTTGTGGATCATAATCCATTTCTTCTAACACATGGAGTCTCACATTCAGTTAGTCTTTAAGGTGCCACAACCCTTTCATTTTTATTTTTGCCATGTTATAAAAGTCTCAACCAATCCCTCAGGGCAGAAAATGTCTTACATCAGTATTTAGCAACCTGCTTCTGTATAGCATAACTAAAGGTTAAATAAGGTTTAGGAATTAATTTTATGAGTTTTTTTAAGTTATTGTAATGTTAGCAACCCATATAACTGGAATATGATGGGTTTTTTTCCTCCCAGTGCTATGATTCAGGTTCAGCAAGAAAAAAACTAGTACAGTATACATCAGTACTTAGACTTTTAAAACATGGGCCAAGATCCAAGGAACTGCGAAACTGGTTCCATAAATCCAAAAGGGATTAGTCGTGTTTTAATTAATTCCTTCCACTGCATGCCAAGCTGCATTTTGAAGCATTAAAGTATTTACAACATGGTAGGAGGCTCACCTGTTTAAAGGGACAATACCGGTAAACGAAATGCAAGGTCCTTCAAGAGCTTTTTGAATCGTAGCCCTACTGTTTTGTTTTTGTTGTTTTATGTTTTTTAATTTTTAAGATGGGTTATGTTGCCAACATTTTGCCCATGCTGAGTCATTATGGCTGTCACCACTGATTTCCTTATCATTCAACATTCTTGTGAACATTTGCAGGAAGATGTTTAGGTCTGATCAGTGCCTATGGCAGGAGCTTCACATCATTAACAGGTAAATGCAGCAAAAAGTAAAGCTGGAAATGCGTGCACTCTGACACAGATAAAATGGTCACAATAACCAGGACCTATGGGATTATCATTGGTGGTCAAAGGCTTTGTACTTTTTCACATGCAATTATTTTGGGAGTGGCACCACTAAATCCAGATTCCATTGTCATTCCTTGAAATGTGTTTGTAAGTTCAATATATTTTTAACTACATTATTAAATATATTCAAATTTAATAATAAATTAATACTGTAAAATATACACACTCGAGGGGACAATAGCATTGCCCCCCCACACACACACATTAGGAACTATCATGTCACGTGTCAGATAAATGCATGAGATGATAAGGCTTTCAGATCTTCTGTTTGTGACAAATGGATAGAAATGAAGTTAGAGAATGAGGAAATATAGGTAAATAGTGACTTGGAACTTATTTCACTTAGATGGGCCTGCTTCTCTCAAGAAATTTAAAAGAATAAGGCTTAAAATTACATCTTTTATTCAAGCCCAGTGGGTTTGAGAAATTGTACTGTAACTATGCTGTCAAAAGTAGGGATGGGAAAATGTGTCCATCTTCCCCACATTCAACTTTTAAAAATAAGCATATTTCCATCCTAACTATAAAATTTTCAGTTTGTTTTTCCCTACAAACCAAGGAGCTAGTAAGTCAAGAGAAAACAAATTGGTGGAAGAAGCTCTTAACTGAGCAGTGACATGGTTGAATACACAGACTGCTAAAAATTAACCTCTCAAAGCCATGAAGGGATGAATTTGTCCCTTTTCGTTTGCCTCTCACTGATTTAAAAAAATCTAATTATTTTCCGTCTTAAAACAAAAAAGTCTATAATATGAGATAAAATTCAGGATTCCCATTGATAAGTTCTTAGAATAATTAACTGAAATGGAATTCTCACCCATCCTTAGTGAAAAGGATGGGTGAGAATTCTTTCCATCACTATGTTCCTGAGAAATTGGTTATTACGGTATGTGCTGCTGCTGCTTTGTGTGGTTTCAGGGTCTGTGTACACACAGTCATGTCTACAGTTCAAAATGTCCTCCTACACCACTGGTTTTTTAAAAAGCTTTTTTAAAAAATAGGTCATGATACCTCTGTGCTGGGCTAAGGGATGACCTCACTGTCAGTTTCCAAGGGGTGGTAGAATTGCAAGGAACTGACATGCTGCCCTCTCTATTTTTCAAGGCTGGAACAACATCTTGCTTGTTTGGAAGGCAGCTGGAACACTTTCAGTGCTCAGTACAAGTAATGTGATTGTCATTGTCATGTATGAATTTCAGCCTGGAATATTGATTGCATCACCCATGTTTTTCAAGGTGACAAGGTATTTTCTGCTGAATTACAACACAATGCTACAATAAGTAATTAATTTATCCATCTGTTATATTTCGTGATTCTGACTGAGCTTACAGAATCATTGCATAGAATTTGGAAGTACACAATCCAAATCAACTCCTCAGTTCCACAATTAAAAATATTAACCAACTGGAATAAAATTTGGCAGTACAACCTACAAATTGTGTAACACCATTGGTTTCAGGTTTGTTGTGTCAGATAACAAACAGATACATTTGTGTTATGAAGACCAGCAATTTAGAATAAAATTATCCCAGGAGTGCCTCCCTAAAAACTCTTAAAAGTAGTAATAATAGTGAAATAGCTGCTCCAGACTCACAAGTTTATATCACATTATTTATTTTGATGTGAATCAAAACATGACCACCCAATTGCTTGTGTGAAGATGAGTAGAGCATCAAATTATTTGAAGCTCAGTAAGCAACTAATATATAAAACCCTCTTTCCCCAAAAAATAATTTACCTGAACCTCATAAGCCTCCATCCTTCTATAATCCCTACATGTTTATGTAACCTTGTACTTTAAACTCTTCCCCTGCAAAGTTCCTCTTGTTTGAATGAGCAAAGTGCTTTCTGATGGTGGATAAAAGCACTGCCAAATTTAAAAGATTAACATTGCAACTTCTATGACTGCATTTCAGTCCTGGCTAGTTGTTCTTTCTCAAGTAAGCATGAAAGCTTCCATCAGATTTACATAAGAAAACACTGGCCAAAATCCTTCTGGTGATTTGCAAATATATACTGTATATTAAATTGCATTGCTCACAATGGCAAATTGCTGCTAACTAAGGTTGCACCAGTCACATTATTAGTTACAGATCTCATAACCCAACCAGCAACTAACTAGTTAACACATTTTGTTTTGGTGGTACACAATTTAAACACGGGGATTCTGTAATTTTACAATGTGTATGATGTCAGTGGCCACTGTAGGAGTTCTATCTCTACTACCAGGTCGGGGAATAGTTAGTCTACCATCATAGTAATACTATTTTAATTGTGCTCCTATAAAGCAAGCGATGCAACTCTGGAATAAACCAAGTTTTTAGTGGGAGGAGAAAGTATTCACATATTTTGGCCCCATCTCTGGAAGGAAATGTTAATGTTTCCTTCATACAATCCTCCAGTGTGTAGGCTTGGCAGGAAGTCTACCAGCACAGTGCCAAAAGCATCACTAACTTTTACCCAACCCACAAAACCTGGGCCCTTGAAAATAAATTACTGTATACATCATTACACAGACGGACCAAGTATTCTGTTGTAACAGTTCCTGATGACTTGTGCTTCCAAACAAAACAGATGTTCTGGGGGAGTAATGAGATACACTGTGTGAGAATGCAAACTTAAACGTAAAAGGGTGGGGGTGAAAGGAAAATCATGTGCACAGCACATCACAAACACCTTTGTTGGAATTTTCCCAGGCGATAGGCCATCAGGTACACTGTAACTGATCTACTGATTACGGGAAATGTCAGTTCACATGGCTCAAAGACAGAAATAGAAACATTCTCCTCTCTCCACCTTTGTGGTAGGTTGTACTAAGAAATTACAGCATTGTTGTGACTAATCCCCATGATGGGAGGCAACGGCAACCGGCTTGTATGCTTTTTGAAAAATAAAATGACATGATGCCCTAGAAGTAGTCTTTCTCCTTTGCTTTCCATTTCCTGATAAACAGAGGGGGGAAAAAACAGAATGGATCCTGTGCCCTCTCTATGGAATCACTTTAAAAGTGACTCCCACATGCCAGCATAGTATGTTACTCTGCATGAATGATCAGATACTCAAATATCAGTCATTAATATATGATTGAATTGTGTGCTTAGCTCAGTGTGTGGATGTTATAGTCACCTGCAACTGATACCATAGATTCAGCTGGATTATACAGAGGTGTTTTCTTCACAGGTTACAGTGTCAGATAAAAAGCTATGTGATAAGCAATAATGTAAACCCTTGGGAATTTATGCAGTATAATTTAACTGCTGCGTGTGCACCTGAGACTCAAACATGGCTGCTAAGAGTCCTAAGGTAGTAATATAGTCAATGAGGACAGAATATGATGTTCTGCAGCCTGGTGCCATGCCTTTGAACTGCACTGATTCCTGAGCTCAGTGTTTATAACCCAACTCAACGTTCAAGTACTTGCATTTTTTATGTTTGTCCTGGCAGTATTCCAAGAAAAATTACTTGATATAAAACAAAAATGTCTAATAACTTATATTTTGCCCCTTATTACAAGCTAATCAGTTTTTAAGGGCTGTCCATCACAAAACCTGAGTAGAAACTCAGATTTTTGTTTATACACATAGATCATATGGCTACTTTTGTTGCTGTTTATTTTGATAAAATTAGCAGAACCAGTCTATACATCTACAATGCAGGAGGAAAGAGAAATACTTTTGATTTTTTAGCACATATTCATAATAGCAGAAGCTTTTCCCAGCCTTCATACCATCTCGCCCTATATCATTGCCTTGGTCCTGTCAGCTTACACTTCTCTAGCTGAGTTTTGAATGGCTAGGGTTATTGAAAAATACCCACCCCTATACAGGTGCTATATGGAGCTGTATTTACATGTACAGTATGTTCCACCCTTCCTTCAGTTAATTAATAGTGGAATACATGGCTTTCCTTGGCACTTTACTGTCCTAAGAACAAACATGTGAAATAAGCCAGGCTGAGAGGGACTGGCATGGACTGCATTGTCACGGCTTAGTAAAGTTTAGGGCTTATGCAAGGAGGCCGAAGAATTACATTTGGCCAATGTCTGTCTCCTGTTAATACACATTTTATATCATACAGTTTGAATCAAACTATCATAAAAAGTACCTGTAAAGCAACAGACAATCAGCCACAAAAACAACAACAACAACAACAAACGAGACTCGGTCTTATCTGTTTTATTTCTATAGGAATCCACAGCCAAAATAGGAAGATGCTACTCTATGAGAAAAAGCCTCTGTCTTAGCCATTGCTTCACCCAGTAGAACCTCTTGATCTTGGAATGTCTCAAGAAGCAGAAGCTAAATGCTTCAGCACAAGACAATGGAGAATGTAAGAGATTATCAACCATCAGATATGCAGAAAGAACAATTCATCCTACATTGCCTGCAGTGAAACATGGGACCTCAAGCTCATACAAGGTTGGAATCTCTGCCCTAGGAGGTTAACACAGCATCTGATCAGAGTAAGTTTTGCCGTTCTCTGTTTCTCCTCACAACCCCTTCAAGCTGTGGAATGTCTAGCATGAAGAAGGACCTTACTGGATATTAATTAATTCCTTGCCTTTCTTTCTGCAGCTTGCCTCTTTCTAATGCCTAGGTAGTCTGATAAAAAGCATTACCTGCCCAGGTTCCTGCCTCTTGCACAAGGACCACATGGCTTTTCTCTTTTTCTTTAAAACCGGACATATGGTTAAATATTTTTAAATCCTTAAAAGATCACAGTTTCAATTCTCTCTCAAGGATGGTGGTGAAAGAATTGAAATTGTGATGTTTTTCAAGAAATTAGGATATCTACATATTAAAGCAATTAAAATATGCATTGCAAAGGATTGTGTGTGGCGAAACGTGTCTCTAGGTGCAAGTGTTCCTCAGCACAAAAGTTATCAGGGAAAGGATTCCTTGAAGGCAGATGTTTAAAGAAAAGCCATGCTGGTTAGGGCATATAATCTCAGGGGCAACTGCATATACTGCTCAATTCCTATGAAACTGATATGCAGTATCGGTTTGATCTTAGCCAAATCGGCCCAGGCCTGGGTACCTCTTATCTTGTGAACTGATATCTCACTAAACCGGTCGTAACTTTATCTCACTGCCATAAAACTACTGCAAACAGGTACAAGCGTCTGAACTAAACTCTTTAGAGAACAAGGAGCAAGCTGTCCAGAAATACAAATTTTTTAAAATGGTAAGGAATGTTGTTTTTTACACAAATGTTGATAAAAATATAGCTAGACACTTGCAAGAGTGTTTATTCTGTGTGGCAAAAATAGTATATTTAGTATTTCCAAATGGTGAGAGCTGCATAAAAAGCACACAAAAGAAGAATGCATTTTAAATTATTTTGTGCTATTCCATTGGCAAGAAACATCTAGCCCCAGACTTTGTTGGTCTGCAATTCACATCAGTGTCACCCAACTTGATCAATAATTGGGGTGATGAGAGTCGTAGGAAGGCCACAAGCTCCCCATTTTGACTGTGAGATTCTGGCAATTGTTTAAAAATGGTCATTTCTCACCTCTGGTTTATATTTATCATTTTATTATTATTATTTATTGGACTTATATACGCTTATAGCGCTACAAGCTCTCTCCGGGCGGTTTACAATTTTAATTATACAGCCTACACATTGCCCCCCCCCCCCAGCAAGCTGGGTACTCATTTTACCGACCTCGGAAGGATGGAAGGCTGAGTCAACCTTGAGCCGGCTACCTGGGATTTGAACCCCAGGTCGTGAGCACAGTTTTAGCTGCAGTACAGCGTTTTAACCACTGCGCCACGAGTCATATTTCCTTTTCTTTTTGAGGATTCAGAACAAAAAGACAATGTTATTTTATTAATGCTTCATCAAAGATGTTAATGGGGAAGTGCCAAGTTCTGAGAATGCAAGAAAACAGTATTTGTTCACTCTTCAGTTTTCTGACTATATTTCCATTTTAAAATGAGATGAGACATCATTAAAGGGGGGGGGGATTAAAAGTACACAGTAGTTGTATTTGAAAGACCTCAAGGTATTAATTCCTGATTCTTAAACTGAACTTGTTGCTCTTAAATTATAGCTTTCGAAAACGATATTATCAGGCTTATTATTCTGTAGTAAACAGTACTGACAGTTCCTGAGTACTGTGCTAAGTCAGCGCAGGCAGCACCCTCCCTGAATAGCTGAGCAAAGGATAACAAGGTCATTGAAACCAATTTGGTTTTCTTTCCATTTTGAATTGTTCCACATTATTGCTAAAAGCTGGAATGTTTGAAATCTTGGGTGGAGACAAACAGTGTGTTCCCAAGCCAAATGTTTAAAAGTTGAGGTTTATATTGGCCTCTAGATTCATATACTGCCAAACCTCAAACAACAACAGAAGGTTTGCCTGATACCACCTGTTCTGTTCCTTCCACCTCCATGCTGAAGGGTGAAGTCGGATGAACCCTTTCAGGAACACTCATGACAGGCTCTTCTCTTGAGCAGTGCATACGTTTGGTTCATCTTGGCATTGCAAGTTGTGGGCCAGGATCCAGGGGTAGATCCGAATTCGCAATTTATCCTTTCTTCAGCAGCCACTGTCTTTGCACACGGAGGGTTAAGAAAAACCCTGGACTGCCTTTTATCGGAACCACAGATGGCTGTGGAAGGAAGAACTGGGAAAGAAAGCCCTGCTTCCACTGACATGGGATGCAAGCTTACACTCCTGGAGCTAGATGTATGCCATTGGACCTTGGCCTTTATAGCAAAATGAAGGAGCAGAAGACCAGACGTTTGCATGTTGTTTTCTCAATTGCTTATCAGGCAGGCTGTGTGTTTTTATAATATTAAATCAAAGATTTAAAATAAGATGCTGAAACTCTTCCAGAGGGGTAAGTTGCATTTATGTAGCAATAGTTGCATTTCAAAGATAAACCTTCTCCATTTGTTATTTCCATGAGTGGAACCACTTCTTTGCCTTTGTGTCCCAGAAGACAAGCAACATGTGCTTGTTTAATTGTTTCTCCCCCTCATAAAATAGTGTATTCCTCCAAACGGCAGTCTTATTCCTACTGAAAGATTTGGTTTGATTTCCGCAAACAGCAGATGTGGTAGCCATTCTTCTTTTCTTCTAACTTTGCCACTGGGCTGTATCATTGAAACAACAGGTTGTATGCACAAAGATTTATTTTTCATTAAGGATCCATTCAGGCTTCAGATTCCCTACCTACACTTGGAAGTGATACAGTTTTACTATTAAGTGTATTTACCTCACTTTTCTACAAATATATTTATACTAGCAAAACAAGATTTTTAAATAGAACAATTTATAAACATAAAAAATATAACAAAAGAAGAATTAACCCAAATCAGTAGACTACCAGAATACAGAACCCTGCATTAAAATAGACAAAAATTTAACCAAGTTAGAAATAAAGATACTATTAGTAACAGCATATTAAAACATAAAGCAAGTCAAGAAGGAGTGTGGAGAAACTTCTACCATGTGAGCCTCTCTCAACCCAACACACTGGCTAGACATCATGGGAGTTGTAATCTAATACTTCCGGTGTGCACTTGGAAAGAGATTTATGGGAACGAGGCATTAATATTTAAACCAGAAAAATCAAAAACACATATTCTTGTTGAAATATTTATTAAATATCAAACTTGTTCTAAATGATAACATTCTTAGAAAATAACAATATTTCTGAGGAAAAATGGGAAAAAGTTAGTTGTCAGAATTAATTGCTACCATAATTATTGTACTATTAAGGCTCTTAAAATGTGTAGAAGACTAGCTGAATTTCTAAAATGTAATGCTTCCAGTAGAAGTTGCCAATGTCAATCCTATTCAGCTCTATTAGTAACATGCCGTTCAGTAACCAGTAGTTAAGCCATCCAACTTTTAACATTTGTTAAATTATTATTAATGCAAATACTGAATTTAAAATTTCAAAATCAACTAGAGCACAGGAAAATCTCTGGAATATTAATCACAATATGAGCAACAGAGATTCTTCAAAGACAGCAAATGCTTGCATTATAAGCTTCTTGCCAAGCAATAATTCCTCTACTTATACCCCTTGCAAAATATAATCCAATGAGGTTTAGAAATGTAATTATATTCAGAAAATGAAGTCAGATGTTCTTCAATAGATAAAGCAGGCAATCTAAAATAGGTTTTAAAAATATCAAAAGCATAATGGTTGAAAGACAGAAGGCTATATTTCTGTTGTCTAAAGACAGGTTAAGAAAGTTGTTGTCATTTTCATTGCAAATCCCCATAATTCCAAAAGGAAATACAAAACAAAATTTCAGCTACACTTCCACTCCTCATCAAAATTAGTTTAAATGGCTCTTTCTGCAGTCAAAATGTTAACAATGGCCAGAATGTTATCAGTTAGTTATAAACAGTGTTACTGATGGCACACAGTTACAGTAACCAGATTCCCACTAGTTAACAAGGAGGTTATATTCCACCAACTCTCATGATTGGCACTTAACAAGGGATACAAGAGGCATCCTGTTCACTAGTGGCAAATTACCACTGCAACTTACACCGTTGCACTTACCCTGTAGTAACTAACTCTAATAGGATTCTGGCCATCCTATGTCAAATTCCTTCTTTGCTTCTCAATCAGTACAGGAGTGGAAGTCTGCCAACCTTTGAATTAACTATGTTGACTAAACAAAAACCTAAAGTAGGTGGCTTTGGGGATGGGATGAAACAGCTTGGTGGCTATTTTTTCAAGTTTATCAGTTTTGTAAACCTTCATGGTTATTAATGATCTAAAACATGCCTAGTGGCCTTGATTTCTTCAAAGGCATCTCTTACATCAAGTGCTCTGGATGGAAAAAAGACCGCCACCAAAAGGGCATCTCTCTACTAGGAAAGCCTCAGTGAAATGGAAATATTACAGAGGTATTTCTTTCAAGCTTCCATTAATTTCAATGCAGTTTCCATAGAAAAAGGTCCAGGTAGATTTGTGCCTTCATTTAGAAAAACTGTTTCACTTCCTTCTCAATATGAAACTGAGTATCTCCCATGAACTGATTGAATAAAGGACCTTAGCAGAATCACTAATCACATACAGCGGTGCCCCGCTTGACGACGATAATCCATTCCAGGAAAATTGCTGTTAAGTGAAATCGTTGTCAAGCCAAAAAAACAAAAAAAAAATATTGGAATGCATTGAAAACCGGTTAATGTGTTCCAATGGGGAAATACCTCATCGTCCAGTGAAGATCACCCATAGAGAACCACTGATCAGCTGTTTAGAATTGCTATCTTCTGAAGCTTCTGTCTGGAAAACAGCCATTTTGCGAAGGGAGGGAAGCCATTTTGCGAAGCCGGAAAAAACATCATTTTGCGAACAAACGGTTCGCGAAGCAGGCACCTAATCAATGTAAAGTGAGAAAACCCCATAGGAAGCATCGTTTTGCCATCACTATAGCGATCGCAAAAAAGTCATCAAGCAATTTTGTCATCAAGCGGGGTTGTCGTCAAGTGGGGCACCACTGTAATTTGTTTTCTACATTATGGAATTCCAGCTGCAGCACCACTAAAGCCCGCCCACCACATTTGCACATGAGAGGGGATTCTTAAAAAGGGACCCTGATTTTTGTGCACAAGACCCCCCACACAAGGTTCACAAGCCTGAACAGTCACAATTTTTAATCTCGGGGGGGGGGGG